GGGGTTGCTGCGGGTGCTGCTGCCGCCGCGCCTGCCGTTGCTGCTACCGCCCCTGTCGCCGTGTTCCGCTCCTGCGTTTGGTCCTCATCCCCCGGCGCATTCAGTGCAGGCCCCGTCTGCGGTCCCGCCCCGTCGGCCTGGATGAAAAAGTCCGTTATCCGCCTCTGCCTGGGGCCGGGTACCTGCACCTGCTGCGCGTGCTCCCGGTTCTGTGGTCCTTGGCTCCCAGCTCGTTCCTGCCTCCTGCCCGCTGCCCTCAGGCAGCATCTGCCAACCTCCATGGCAGACAGGGCCGACAGGGCGATTATATCCCATACGGCCTGTTCGCATCCGGTTGGGGCCAGTAATAGCCAGAGTTGCTTTCGGGTGACTCCCCCTACCGCCGCTTCCTGAGAAGACTGTAGATGCCGGTCGATTTGTGCCCGCACCGCCTGCGCCACCGGGCATTCCCAAAAGTGATGCATGCGTGGCGAGCATGGCTGGCCAGCTGCTCCACCGAATCCGCCACATCCACAGCATTCTGGAGTCATGCGGGCTAGGTGCGTGTTGCCCGGTAGGGGGACGCCATCCACTGCAAGCCGCCATAACGTCTCCTTATTCTCATTCTCCCATCGTACCCCGGACCATACGCGGGCCTGCGTCGCCCTGAATAGGCTGATTTCCGAGGGGGGCGGCGGCGACGGGCCCTGAGGATCCGTCGCCTCCCGCACAAATTCAGCTACCAGGCGTCTTCTCCTCTCCTCCATAGGCCCACATTGCAGCTGTGTCGCCAGGCGAACCGTGAGGCGTGCCAGCGGGATGGCTTCCGCCATCCCAGGTATACGCCACCCAATTCGCCCAGCAATCATACCCATCGTTTGCATGCTGGTCAGCAGTGGTGCTGGTGACGGTATGACAGCCTCCTCCCCTCCCGTTGCCGCTGCCATCGGTTCCGTTAGCCCCCGCTGCTGCTGCTGCTGCTGCTGTCGCCGGGTCTCAACCGTTCTAGCAGCTTCGAGCCAGGCCGGGTTTATGCTGCTATGCAGCGCCGCGAGGGCTGCCCGGGTCACGGGTTTATCCCGCGTGGAGATCGGGGTAAGCGGGTCGAGGTGAGTCTGGGCCCACTCCAGCCACGCCGTCCTAGGGAGGGTTGCCAGATCGCTGCTCTCTGCCAGGGCCCAAACCCGCACCAGGTCCCCTACCGTCTGTAGTTTCTTGCAGGTGGCAAGCCCTGGGTATTGGTACTCCAGGCCGGGGCGGCGGCCCCGGTCCGTCGGGACGGTCCCTCCAGCATCGGGGAATAGCGGATTTCCCCATAATGCAGTCGCCCAGCACCAGTCACCGGGTGTCAGCGGGTTGGTCCCGATGTCCTCTGGTGGCGGCAAGTGCCCCAGGGCTCCCACAATCCGGCTGATATCCTTCGGCAGGTCACGAGTCCCAAGCCAGGGCCCAGTTGGGTTCGCGGTTGTCAGGGCCCACGGCTGGAAAGCGGGGTTCGTGAGCAGAAGGTAGGCTGAAAGCGTGCGGACCCAGGGGTGGATACCTCCGCCCACCTGCATATCTGTGTCTGTTGCGCCTGTATCTGATCTCGTGTTGCCTGTTCGCAGCCCTAGGGTTGCGATGACAAAACGAGCTGCCCACACCGCATGCCGGGCTTGGATGTGTTGCCGGAGGGGCAGCAGACCAAAGCCTCCTGTGGATGGGTGACCGATCAGGAGTTCCTTGGGCACGCCAGTCAAGTGTCGGCCTGGATCATCCGGGCCTTGTTGGCGGTCGACCAGGCGAGCCGTGAGTCGCTCTATCTCGTCCAGCACTCGGTCTGGGGCCAGTCCGCCATGCTCCATGTGCCAGGTGACCGTCTGCAAGCCATATGCCGACGCCGCCGTTGCCCTTCCAAATGCTGACAGCGGGAAGCGGGACAGACGCTGCATCCGCCGTTTGGCCTCTCCTAGCCTCTTCGTCCAGTCCGGCTGTGGTGGGGTCACCTGGTTGTCTATCGGCAGGTTCAGGGCAGTAGCAGTGGTTACCACCTTAAGTCCTCCGATTGTCTCCTGCTGGGGGGCTGTTAGCTGGAGTCCTGCTGCTGGCGCCGGCTGCTGTTGTTGCTGTCGCTGCTGGCCAATCCATAGCAGTTCCACTTTCTCCAGATTGAGTCGCTGGCCAGATGCCTGGGCAAATGTTTCCATGGCCTGTAGGAAGGAGGGAACTGATTCCGCGCCATCCAACGCCACTTCCGTGTCATCTGCATATTGGCAGGCGGTGACGGGATTTGGGTCGGACGGTTGCAGCTTAATTCCCACCTCCTGGCTCCGGAGCCAGCATTGGAGAGCTTGGGCGACGAAGAGGTACAGCAGAGGCGCCAGGGGGCAGCCCTGTCGGACACCAGCCTCCATGTCTACCAGCCTGGACTTGTACCCGTTGACCATCGCCCGGGCTCGGGTTTCGCTCAGTAGCAGACGTACCCACGCACACAGCTGTGGCCCTGCCCCCATCGCCTCCATGGCCGCTAGGAGAAAGCCGCGATCCACTGTATCGTATGCTTTGGCAAAGTCCAGGAATGCCAAAAGCCCTTGGCGGTTCTGCTTGCGGAGGAGGTGTGACAGGTGGCGCAGGAAGAGTACGCTGGCCCCAATCAGGCGCTTGGGGAGGAAGGCGGATTGCTCGGGGGTGATGACCCGTCCCAGGGCGGGGCCCAGGCGGTTCACCAGTACCTTAGCAAGGAGCCGGTAGTCCGAGCATAGCAGTGTGATGGGGCGGTAGTTGCCTGGGAGCTTAGGGTCGCCTTTTTTATAGAGCACTGTGATGATCCCTTCAAGGAAGCCTGCGGGCACCTGCCCGGTCATGCCAATGGCAGTGAACAGGCCTGCCATGGTATTACCTATGGCTGACCAGTATTTCCTGTAGATGTCGGCCGGGATCCCATCCCACCCTGGGGCCTTGCCAGGTGCGCTCTTCTTGAGTGCCTTCCGCAGTTCGGTGGCTGTGATCTTTTTGGCTCCAAGCTGTTCATCTGTCTCTGCCGGGAGCTTAATGTTGGCTGCGGTGAGGGAGTTCAGTACGGCTTGGCGGGCCTGGGGGCAGATGAAGTCCGGGGCC